CTTGTATAGTAATACCTTAACATCATGGTATTTATGTTCAAACATCATTACGGGGGCTGGAATGCTAACATCAAGGACAGTTTTACTGTTTCCCCATTAATGTGTGTATTCCAATTATTTCTTACATCTTAAATAAATTTATTTTATTTTAATTTGAGCAGCCACCTTCCCACATCTGGTTGCAAAAAACGAAAGGTGGCAAAGATGTGGGACGTTGTGGGCTACATCCCCCACATCTGCTCTTTATATTATTTATTTCATTATCTATTTTCATTATATTATTATTATTATTATTGATATGCGAAACTGAGGCTAAACTGGACAGACGGTGTACCCCAACGCAATTTGGGTCTTACTTCCGCCAGTACCTCAAAAATCAGGGCACATTGCATAGTTACCCACCTTATGGTGTGTGTCCAGGTGGTACTTGTTTGTTTTGTAGCTGCGTTGTTTCTATTTTGTTTTTGCTTTCATTTTCTATGTAATATTACAATTAATTATTTTTCGTCTAAGGTTTGGATATGCTGTGTTAAGTTCACGCTATTCTTCCTTATGATGTAACCTTTGTTTCTTTCCTTTTTTCTCTCTTTTCTAATTATATATAGATGCATATACATGAAACTAAAATTAACTTCACGACTTGTTAAAAAAATGGATTTTAGCCGCAATCAACTATTTATTCTCAGGTACGTTTATCTTCTTAAAGGAAATATTACTCCTAATCCTAACTACTCAAGGAAATGTAATTAGAATACGTGTGCAACACTAAAAACCAGGCTGAAACCTTTGAGATAAAACAACAACAACTTAAATTCAAAAATTTATGCTTGTCAGCATTAATTTCCAAACTTCATCAAAATCCAACTAAGTCTTATTTATTATTTAGAAATATTTTAATTCATTTTTACGTTTTAGTGGTTTCGGGCGCAAAAACAAATGCAGATTTATGCTCATATTTGTTATGGCCACAGAAATACTTGTTCTATGACTTTTTAAATATTTATGGATTGTCATTTAATTCTTAGGTTTATTCGCTGTTTTCCTTTATGACTTAACAGTCATTTCTGACGTTCAGTCCTCACGCACTCCTAACGTCAGTTGAGATCAGAGCAGAATGTACGCTGTCGTGGAGTGAAACAACATTTTAGAAGAAATAAAATCTCAAATTTGCTTTAACAGTTTAATAGGTGTTTGTTTAGCTACTTTTTACTTGTTTATTTTTGTTTTCCTTGTTTTTAATAAATGGTGTTTACAGAAAATGTATGTATACTCCAACTTTAAGATTCTTAGTGAACAGTTATAGTACCAAAGTAAACACCAACTGACTGGAGAAACATGCAAGTTGTTATAGTATAAAAGTAAACAGGCATGTTTCTCCAGTCAGTTGTACTATAACAACTTGCATGTTTCTCTAGTGAGTTGCTGTTTGCTTTTATACTATAACAACTTTCTAGTGAGTTGCTGTTTGCTTTTAAAAACATGCAAGTTGTTATAGTATAAAAGCAAACAGCAACTCACTAGAGAAACATGCAAGTTGTTATAGTATAAAAGCAAACAGCAACTTACTGGAGAACCAGGTAAATTTCATGTCAGTTATGTTTTTGTCAAATAATCATGGGTATTATTCAGTGGGAACAAAACAAGAACGAGTATAATGAAAATCATTTATTTCTTAAGATTTTCAATTAGAAACTGCCCATACCAAACGGTAACGTTCGTGTTTATATATCATATTATTTTTCTAAGTCGTAGTCATGATTATTTGAAGTGTACTTTATGTAGTACAGTATTTAGCTTTTCATACTAACAGAACGGTATTTGAAGGGTCTTTTATGTAATACAGTGTTTAAATCATCGTACTAACAGAATGGTATTTGAAGGGTCTTTTATGTAATACAGTGTTTAAATCATAATACTAACAGAACGGTATTTTAAGGGCACTTTATCTAATACGGTGTTTAACTATTGATACTCTGCACGGTATTTCAAGGTTACTTTATGTAATGTAGTGTTTAACTCTAATTAATAATAGAACGGCAGGATACTGTGCAGATTGAAGACTTGTCCTGGTCACTCTTGCCAGAATCCACTGTACAATCGCAACGACTGCTGTCCAGTGTGTCCAGGTAACGTTTCCTTCTAATTGTACGTTTCATAATGTGAAGTATTCGTGTAATTGCATGTCTCTGTGTATTGTGTTGAAATTCAAGACATACTTAAGCGTTTTTGGAACAACCATTCAGTAGAACTGGTTATTTACAGTAACGGAAGAAGTAAACTTTCGAAGACGTGAGTTAATTAATTATTACATGCTATAAACTTATATAAATATATTTTATAAACCCAAACGTACAACAGGTTGTCATGTGCTTTTCCAAGCGGGAAGTGAAAACTGTTTACCTGTATAGTCAGCAAGTAGTAGCATAGACAGAGTGCAAGTTTAAGAAGGTCCTCGATCATTCAGTAAATACTTACGATAACATACCAACGTAAGTTAAATGTAAAAAGTGTGATGCTTATTTGATTAGATCCAGTTGATATTGAAAACCTTAGTGATATCAAAGTCACGCGCCATCATAGTATTTATAAGTACCGTCCTTACGATGATTTTTCCTTATCCACGTTTGTGTTTCATCAACTGTCTCATTTTCTTTTGTTACATTAATTAAATAGAATGTCATTAACCTTGTAAGAACGCATGAAAGTAATCTTATTGTGACATTGTGTTGTCGTATCGATGTTGAGCATTTCGAATAGGTTTACGGGTAGGGCTTGGAAAAGTCATGGTAGTTTTAAACCTTTGAATCACCTTTTATTAAGACAAATATCCCCTTTATTCCAAATCAAGCCCTGTTTTTTTTTTGTTGTTGTTTTGTTGATGTGTAAAATGTGTATAAAAGTGTACATATTGTTTAACAAACTAGAAATAAACTTTTCTAAAACGACAATAGCAGCTTTCAGCAGAATAGGAATCAAGCGTTCTTTTCTAGATGGAATTTGTTTTTGTGATTTTTTACTGGTCGTTGTTAGATATACACGACTGTTTAATTTTCATACGATTGTTACGATTTAGATAATTTAAGTATAGCGCGAGTGTTAAATTGAGTTATTTTTTTCAAACAAATAGTTTATAGCAGGTTTGTTTACGTAGCAGTATATGAATGATATGTTGTGTAGTTCAATATTTGTGAATTGGCACTTATTGTATTATTGCGTCATGTTACAAGACACTTCTATGTTCTTCTCGTCGTTTCGATTTAGTATTATTGCATCACATTATCGTGTAGCGTATAGAACGTCCTAGGCCCCTGTCAGTTTATAAATATGCGTACAAAATGTAGTTAGAGTTAAGTAAGACAAAGATAGACAGTTAGTTAGTTAGATAAATAGATAGAGCCGGATTGTGTGTTTGTGAATTTAGCGGTAAAAAGCGTATAGTGGCGCTTTTTTGTTTTAAAGTGAAATTATCACAGATTGTATTGTAACAACAGAGTAGAGAAGAATAATTTGTCTTGTAAATTGTGTTGTAAAGTAATTGAACAAACCTGTGTGAACTTCGACGAAAAGAGATAACTATTTAAAGCTCTGGATACAACTGTGGTAATTAACTTGTAATGAAGATTTGTCTATACGTTTGACTGGTTTTAATATATTATTTTAAAACAAGTGGAAGTATTAGAAGTAACAAAAATTAGTAATATCACATTTTCAATTTTCATTTATGTATTTAATGCTTTTACTGCCAAGAGCATATAAGTCACCTTCTATTCTGGAGCACTGCCATAAGTACATATAGCCTTTATCTTAGTCTTTAAGCTCTGCTCGTTCTTTCGTTTATCTTAAAGCAAAGCCACGTTGTGCTATCTGCTGTGTCCATCGCGGAGTTGGAAAACAGTAGGTTTATCGCTGTCCTACCGGGAAACAAAGTCTTTAAGAAACCAATCCTATTCTTTACAGCAAACGTACCTGCAATAAGGTCAAATATTCTCTCCAAAACTACATTTTAATTTCATTTGCAGAAATCGTCAAAATGGATCGTTACAATGAGGGTTAAGCCGTTTTCTCAGTTCACCACAGTATCTTTTGTTAAGTGTTTTGTTAATATTTTGTTATCCAATAAACTTATACTTATATTTATTTCCATTACCTGTGTTATATGTATACGCGTGTGTGTAAGTGTAAACATTAGTAGAGTTGCTTCTTCTTGTTCTCACTTTAAAGGTTTTTCTTACTATAAAGTACTTCATTGTAAGGCAATAAAGCGTATTTCCTCGAATTATATATATATATATATACGTGTCATGTTTATTTAGTTTATTTCTTACTTTGTGATTATTTTGTGGTAATTAGTAGGACCCTTGAAAACTGTGATATCAAGTAAATGTTCTAAGAAATAGGTGTGCCATAAACATATTTATTATTTAATTAAATAGGTCATAAGTATTGCAAATCCATTTGGAAATTTCGTAAATAAATACACAAACTATTATTTTACTTAAAGGACACTTAAACAACTATATTTTATTCTGAATCAATGGGGCTAAAATGCCCCAAGACATATATATATAGTCAAAATAAAAGTTTTACATTATTATTATTATTAAAAACACAAAATATGCTAATTATTTACATTTATAATAATAAATTATGATGTTTGCCGAATTTTAATTAGCTTCTACTCAGGTGATCTGATGATGTCCAAGACGGCCTAACATTATGCATGGCATGATAAACTAACGTAGACCAGACTATCTTTCCCAATGAGACCATTTTGGAGCCCGCCCCCTCCCTCCAGTCCCTAAACGGCAAGTGTTAGTGCTTATGACGCTAAAAACCGGGTTTCGATACCAGTGATGGGCATAACGCAGATAGTTCACTACGTAGGTTTGCGCTTAACAACAAAAACAAACAAAACTGTCACGGGATAAGTTTTTTTTTAAATCTTTGATTGCAAATGGATATCAATTTCAATCCTAATAACATTCAACTATATAAGTTTGAGCTAACCAGAGGATCTAGAGAAAACAATGGCGGGCGTGCGTAGGAAGGTTACAAACATGTACAACTCTTACCAAAAATTGCTGTTAAATAGTTCTATATTTTGGATTAATAAGTATTTTAAAATTGTATTTTATCTATCATAGACAACAAGTAAAATTTCTTATCTTGGCACGGTTTCATGTTAAAAAGAAAACAATAAAAAAAAACCTCTCAAACATTTTACATTTTTTTACAGCTCTTCATTCACCCTAGGAAATATTGTTGGTATGGCATTTGATTTTATTCTAATTCTGGTACTATTGTATCTGAATATTTCATTTCTGTCAATTTTTATGAGATCACGGTTAAAACATGTTTTCTGAGAAAAAGTGCAGAGCTGGGTCGACTATGTTTTGTTATACTTGTAAAGTATGCTTTTTACATGTTATTAAACCAGGTTTTCTTGTGGCCGAAACAAAACAACAACATTTAATGGACGTGTGCTTGTTCTATTATTACAACCAAACGCTAGAAATAAAAAAAAATTCGTAATACGAAGAGACAATTTCGATAGGAAAAAAATCAGCAAACTCATTGAAAATAAAGCCTGGCATGACCAGATGGTTGGAGCGCTCGACTCAAATCTACATATCGTGAAATCGAATCCCATCGCCGAAAATGCTCGCCTGTTCAGCCTTGAGAGCGTTATAATTTTGTGGTCAATCCCACTATTCGTTGGTAAAAAGTAGCCCAAGAGTTGGCGATGGGTGCTGTTGACTATCTTGCCTTCCCTCTAGTCCAGTGTTTCCCAAACTATGTTCCGTCCGAGACTGTTAGTTCTCTGTGAGAAAATCATGATTTTAAATGTGTACGATCATAACTTATTATGAAATATTTTCCTATGTATTAGAATTAGATAATATCGATTCACATTGAAGAAGAATTATAGAAGATGCCATATCTATTCTACATAATATCTTAGTAGAGAGGTTTATACCTAAAATATATTATAAACATAAAAATGTAAAAATTCATTAATATGTACTTTGATTAAATAAACAAATGAATAATATACTAATCTAGAAAGTGCTGCGTGCGCAACATACCCTCTACACCGATATTTCAAGTGTCTAGTGTTCCGTAAGCTTTTTCTCAGCTGAAAAATGTTCCGTGGCCAAAAACATTTGGGAAACGCTGCTCTAGTCTATCGTTTCAAAATTAGAGGCAGCTAACGCAATTAGCCCTCTATTAGCTCTGCACAAAATTCATCAATCTAACAACAACAAAAAACAACAAATAGAAAATAGAAATAATCATACCACGCAGTGAACTGGTTGTACTGCTTTGAGGTGACTGACGCTTATGACGTCACGCGTTTTCAGCTTATGGAAAACGCTCGATTATTTTGTATATTTGGGATATTTGGGCATGTGAAAAGAGTGCGTCGTATATGGCTAAAAATCTTTGTAACTTAAGTTAACTACATATTTTTTCAACGATGTATTAATTAGAATGGGCATCAACACCAATTTCTGGATGTACTTTAACAAAATTTAAATTGTTGTTTAACTGTTCTTCATCACTTCTTAGAGACTGAGAACACAAACATCTGTGAAATATTTCAAGTACTGATCTTTATAAATATTCATGTTGATATGACAAATAGTAAGTAAGACGTAAGTAATTACACCATACCAACTGTGTATCTAAAATTAAACCTCGAACTGGGAGAGTTGTTAATCTATAAACGTGGCAGGGAAAAAGTAATTTTGTTAGTTTGGTTAGTCACATCGTATTAGTTATCTCTGAAGGTTAAAAAGTTTAGCATCCATTTGACTATATATTTTTTCCGTACGTGATGTTCCTTAATTTTATAACAGTGTGATCTTTCGACTATTTTAAAGTGTGTGTTCCGTAAGATTTACGAGTTTTATGTCACGTGATCGTGATAAACTATCGGAATAAAAAGCGTTGTTGAAAATAATCTTATTGGTATCCCTCCAAAATAAAGTATTGCACTTTGAAATCTATAGTCCTCCGGTGGTTTAACGGAAAATTTATAGACTTAAACATTAAAATCCAGGGTTTAATTCTCCGCCGTGAACAGTCCACAGATAATCCATTATATACATTTGCGCTAAAACGAACAAATAACCTTAAATCTGTAAATACAGTTAAAGATGCATTATTTCGCTATTGTATGTGGTTTTTAATCTGAATTACAATTATTTTTAGATAATTGTTTCAAAAATACTGCTATTCCTTCACACTGCTTTACCGTTTCAGTTCCAAAATTGAAGTAATGAACATTGTTGTTACTTTATCTTTACTGTTCCTCTTCCAAAATTGAAGTAATATACATTGTTGTTACTCTACCTTGTACACTATATTCTTATTTCTGTGTTTTTTTCAGCAAAAAATAAAAAATAACCAATTTTGATAGCATTGCTGTCGTAAAAAAATTGAAAATTTTAAACACGAAATGCATTATCATTCTTGATTGATTTAAGCAAAAAAGGTGTTATGAACTTTCGAAAAGACCCCCCCCAACTCATTTGACTGTGTGCTGTTTTTCCTATCAGATTATGTTGTCCCTATCAAACCCATGTAAATATTCCAAACCTGCCCTAGACATAGGAAGACAGTCCCAATCTACTCTCTGTGAATATATATATATATATTTATTATTAGATTTTCAGATCTACTGATGATGTCCCCTAAACGTACGTAAAATGTGTGAATTATATTTTTCTCAAGGTTTTGTAGTTATTCTGTTCTGACTTTAAATGTGCAGATGTTGCGCTTTCAAGACTGCCAGTAGTGAAAGTCTATTTTTTAAAACATTCAAATATTATTTCCAGCAAGATTGTGACATTTTCTCCATATTTATGTAAAACAAGTGAATGTTTATTTGTATCTATCTAACACTACAAGAAAAATATTCTGAGGATTGCGCAAGAATGTAAAAAGCTGCTTCTGAAATATACAAGTTACTTTCATTGGAGTTCCAATAGTTGTATACAATACTGAAGAAAATAACTGTACTCTGAAATATTGGTTGACAGAACATTTTGAGAATTCTGTTCTGAAATTTGTGAGATGCTAATCATCTTCGGAATTCTTTTTGTGCTACTGTTTTCTTTGTAACTCTCATTTAATAACTTTGTTAACATATTATGTACTTTAACAGCTGTCATTCCCAAATTTTCTTCTTAAGATTGCCCATAGGTGTTGCAGCAAAGTTAAAGAAGATATTGAATGTTTTTATTTCTCAGGAGATAACATATCTATATTTCTTCAACCAGCAAGAAATTGTTAAAATAAAAATATTGTCATTAATTATTACAGTCGTCCGCCCAGAGCAGCAAGATATATCTGAGGATAACCTTTTGGTAACTTTCCAGACTTCAGGAGGCGGGACAAGTAAGTGATTAACTACATAAAACTATAAGACCTACTAAGTTACATAGACTTCATATTTAAAAGAGAGAAAAAATCTAATTCCCTGCATTTAAGTTAAATAAGGGACAAGAACACCTCTAACAGTGAGAGTACCCAACTGATGACCCAAGGGTCATATAATTCTTTTGTAGTTTGCCTCTTACTCGTAATTAATATTATTTATTATTATTATTGTATACTTTTACATTTATGTAAATTTGGAAGATAAATCACAACTGACAATACCATGATTTGCTTTTTTTTTTACTTTACGGATTTTCCAAGTATCTTAAATATTAACTGGGAGGATACTGTGGTTGACTTGAGGTTAATACAAAATAATACCTTGGTGTGATCGTTGTCACACAACAAAAATATTGGTATACGTTTGGTTTGAATTTAATATATTGTTGTCGTAAACCCATATCAATCCGAAACAAAATATGATTAGTTAATATCGTTCTAAAATGATAGTGTCGTAAAGTGATATTAGTTTGAAATGGGTAACATGGAGAACTAATATTAGTACGAATATATAGTGTAAACTAATTATAATTTGAGAAATACTCTAATAACCTGATACTAATCTTAAAGGAAATTATGGCACTCCAATATTCAACCTGTAAAGTATAGCAAAACAAAAAATGATTGAAAATTATAATGTTTTACCAAAACGCAAAGACACTCATATAAACTGTTAAATACCCGTTCAGCTACTTTTTTATACGTAAATCAGGGATCTGATTATCTGTCTTGTGATGTCCCGTGTAAAAGAATAGTTGGTAGAGCTAGTTTTATTTCTGTATACGTAGTTTATGACGAAGTGTAGTACCAACGCACAGTAAGGCAACTTAGCATCGATTGTGCTTGCTTAGAATCAAAGTGTTGATAAAGTTCACTTGTGTGAAAGAGCTGTTTTTAAGACGTATTTGGTTACCTGGGGTCGCTTGAGGCGTTGTGACATGTCTCCCAAAAGCATTCTATCTGTAGAACTTCATGAATAAACCAAACGTAAGGTTTCATTTGTTTTGGGAGGATTAAATGAGACAAGACACGATGTCAAGTTGAAATTAAAACAAGATACTCTATTGGTGCAAAGAAAACAAAAGAATACTTGATTGGTTAATGTCATTACTTTTTATTTATGGTTTAAGACTGAAACGTAAAAATAAATGAAGAAATTAAACTTCATTTGAATGAAAAGAATAGTGATAATAAAATACAATGATATTTGATAAAAGCTAGATGACAATAATATTTATTGAAAATGAATTTCAAGTACACATGATCAGCAGACGTCAGAAGAAACGAACCAATGAAGAGAAGACTTCACTCGCGTGTATTGATTCTTTCAGGATCACGACAAATCTAAGCACTTACGGTAAAGTTGTGACGATCATGCATATCAGTCGATGCCATGATTAGTAGCCCATAAGGTCGTTATTAAAAACAAGTTAACTACAGATATTTTTCCACATTTTTCTTAATTTGTCCACCTATCTCATCTACCTGAAATGCTATTTTTACACACCTATGATTTCGAGCAGCAATATTGGTTTTATAATATTTCGCCTGTATTTTTTTTGCGTTTAAACCCTAGCCTATAAGATCGCCTTTATTAATTATCTACTAATTGTATAACTAAACACTAATTAATGTGATCGTATAAGCTACAAATCGTAACAACAGCAGAACAAATCTATCTGAAAACGCCAAAAATTGCGCTTGTTGCTGACAAGCCAGAAAACCAAATCACAAGAATCCAAAAACATCTCTGCTCCATATGACAATCATAGAGAAGTTTTCTACAAACAAAGTACAGTAAATTACAATACACTAGATAGATTATGCTACGGAACGTAAGAAATGGGCTTAATTTAATCGACCGGATTTAGGATGCTCTAAATTAAAATGTAGGACATTTTGCAGATATAAAGTATACAGGAAAATGAGATATGAGGTATTTGGATACCACACATGCAGGCTTTATGGGATTGAAGTTCGGTGGGTGCGCAGTACACTTTATTTGTTCAACCTTTATATCTTCAAGAAGTATGCCAACGAGCTTAGCACAGTGGAGGCGAGTATTATTATCTAAATGGGGTTGTATCTGGTTCCAGGTTCTTTCCAACCGAGCAATGACTGTTATCTAATTGTAAGATGGAGAGCAACTCACCTCTAAAAGAAATATTACTCTATATATGGCTGGTCTACTGAACATGTTCTAGTTGTTGGCACCGTTACAAATGAGCTGTTTTATGCTTTACCTTGAGTGTGATGTATACACACCAGTCTTGTGAAGTTTGTTTCTGCTGTCTGTATACTGACACAGTTGCGACTACAAACATCTGCTTAACGCTCGGAGCAGGTACCCTACGCTTGCGGCGTGTTTGAACTGACAGATAGCTACATTCTGTTTTTGTTTCAATTGGAGGTCTGCCTTTTCCAAGTGTTTGAGCAGGACGAGGCAAAAGTAACTATACAGTTATTCCATCTAGAACATAGTTAAATTTATTACTGTTTCTCTGAAACAAACAATAATTAAATTGGTTTAATTTTTTTCGTGATATTTTATTTATCATCAACCATAAATACCAGTTATATTAACTATACCAATCGTATAATACTAACTGTATAGTAACTTTTATTCCATCATGTTTTGGTAGTTTTAAGGAAAATAGTTCTATTTTGAAAAGCGTATATCCAGAACATATTTCTAATCGAATAACATCAAAAAATAATTTTCACAAAATTTTAAAACATCCCAAGGGTATGACCTAGTTAATTTGGTGAAGAAAATACCTTCTTTGAAACACACTAAAAATGCATATTTTAATGCAAAATTAAACATGAAATCTCTTATTGTGTTTATATTTCATAGAAAAATAGCAAGACTGAAACATAAGGATTTTAATTAAAAATATTATATCGCTTCCAAAACTTAAAAAAATGATTTTCTCTTATCCAGAATAAAAACAAACTTAAAGATGGACTAAAATAGGAAACAAGTCGTAACTATTTAAAGTAGCTCTTTTATGAGTTTCATCATCCCGGGTTTTTCTTCCTTTATGAGATGATTACTATTGGTCTGGAAATCATCGCTGCCATAATTGTCTAACTTTCATTTGTCCAATGACTTTCAACATAAGTGAAGATCCAGATTTCTACTCTAAGGGTCTAGTAATGAACAATTTGGAGCACTTTAAACTTCCATGAGTCCACTATATATCTATATATATATATATGTCATTTGTATTTCAGGTCAGATGACTAATCATCATATGATTGACCTGTATGATTATGAACTGAAGAATGTGATTAATAATGTCCTTTAACAGGGTCTTTACCTTCTCAATGCTGTAATGTTAAACACAATGATCGTATTCTTTCTTACTATTATTACAAAAATGTTCGTATTTTTTAACTATGACTTTACTCCCTTTATCTTAGCTTGTAATTCTGGTAGACTCAGTTATCCTCATGGCTCCACTTGGCATCCTGTTATTGGTCCACTAGGACAGATGGATTGTGTAATTTGCAAATGCCAGGTACGATAGCATCTATGGAAAGTAAGATATTTTGTGTACCTTTTTATTACGTATAATTAAAACAAACAATCGTTCTTTTCTGACAATTCTAATGATATTTACACGGATTTGACTACCACATAGATATTTGGGTGAAACAACAGGAGAGATTCATTGGCAAGGAATCTTAGTTTACCAATAAAATAAAAACTATGGTAATCTCAAAAAGACATAAGCAATTAAAAGTACAATTTTAAAACACCACAGCATTATCAATAAATATATTTGTCACGACGTTTGGTTTATAATTAGGTTAAGACTTACTTATTAAAGCTTGAGTAAAAAAAAACAATCATAGTTTTAAAAAATAGATAACACGTAAATAATAAATGCTGCATTTGCGAAGTGATTAGATAAGAAAAATAAATATTAGTCCATTTCTATATAATAAACGTACAATCTAAGTTTTCTCGTGGTATAAATGAGATAAATAAGTTCAGTCAGTGGCGAGACAGCTCTCAGAAGAACTAATGCGAATAAGACACAACTTGCGTAGCCTCGAATACGTACGTTTTTAGACTGGTAACACATATATATATGGCGGTCGTAACGTTGTAATGAGTTTGTGTACTAAGTGAATGTAATAAATACATTATGCTGGTGTTTTTTTTTACAAAGTTGTAAAAGTGATTTATGTTTCTGTCATTACCATAGTTCTTATTGTAATAAATAAACATCAGAATCCTTGGTATTTCTCTTGAGGACCCAGTTCTAGTACAGTTAATGTAAAATAGTAATAATATAAATAGATATAATAAATAAATGGTGTTAAAATGAAGTAAATAGTGTTGTATTATTAATTCTTACCTAAATATCAATATTTATAATATGTACAATACACTTTCTTAATATGATTTACACCCTAACAGTTGCTTAAGAAAATTAATTATATACATATTGCCTAGGCCACATTACTCTATATCTCAGCGTACCTGGTAAGCCCTGGTATTGGGCGAAAGGCCTCATCGACACTGGATATAGCAGATGTAATGTGATTAACATGTGATAACATATTCTTCTTTGCTGATAACATATTCATGGGTTCTTAGAATTAATGTGTTACAGATCTAGATAGTTTTATGACTACGTTTTATATCTGATTCATCTCGGTTTATTTGAGGCCGTATGATCATCTTTTTCTTCTTAAAACAGGTTACCTTTAACCACATGGTTATCCATTTCTTCCGAAAATATGGTTAGTTTAACCACTTGACCATCTCTTCTTCTTTTGTAAAACAGGGTTAGTTTAACCAAATAACCATCCTTTGATGAGTTATTTTAATCACCTCTTTTTTTTTCTGAAATAGGTTTGATTTATTTAATTTAACCGTATAGACACTCATTTTTTTTTGTGAAATAGATTTAATGTATTCATATTTCCTTCTCTTTGTTCCCAAAAGAGGCTGAGTTTAATTACATGCCAACCCTTTGTTAACAAAATGGTAAATTCTTAAACTTGTTAAAATCTAGCCATGAGAAATAACCGAATTTTGTCAAGTGTTCAAATAAAAACCTTCTTTCTCTCATTTTAAATTTCAATAATTACCATTATTGATAATGTTGGTATTATTTTAAAGTGACTGTTTATGTACTTCATGCCATTGGAAAACTGTGGTGATGAGTTATATATATTATAGAAGCGGTTTCGTATGTAGTTCTTATCTATTTTTTTTATAAATGCAGCATTAATTCCGAGCATATTGTGTAATTTGTTTTCGCTGTTGATTATTGTACATACAATAGTTTATTTTAATCTTTAAATGAGACCAGGTGGGGTCACAGATCTCAAAACGGAATTTTCTTCATAATATAATTTGTCTTAAAACGTATATCATTGTACATAAAAACTTTCAGTAACTTATAAGAATGCATAGAAACCTCAATATTACTAGAAACTACGAAATTTGGTTATGAACGAAATAAATCTCTGGGGGTCATGTAGATCTCATCCTAGTAACTTAGTGTTAAAAAGCCTTCACCGAAACGTCGACCCATAAATGAAATATTTCCCTTATCAATGACCCTTTATTTGATGAAAGAATAAATATGCGGCATAAACTGTCTATTTGTGAAATTCTTTGAGGAAACGTATTTTAACTTTAAATATTACAGGACTAAATTATGTGTTATTTGTTTGTAGTTCGTATCGAGGAGGGGGGGGGGAAAGCACATTAATGTGAACGTACATTCGTTTTTTTTTCTTAAATCTCGTCTTCTTATAGATGGGGAAAATTGAATGTGGTCGTGTAACCTGTTCATCAGAAGCACTCACGTGTGATAAACCTCAGAAGGTCATAGGTCATTGCTGTCCGTTATGTGTAAACAAAGGTCAGTATTACTAGCAAAAAATGTATACATTCTAACAAAAATACGTGGAAGCTTTAATTAAAAATAGGTATTCGAAAATTGTGGATAACGGAAAAAATGTATCATTGAAACAATTTAATACACAATGTTATTAAACAAGAAATGCTATTATTTCAAGTTTTAAATATATTGCAGAACGAAGCCTTTTGTACTAACGACATAATCAGAAATATCGCGTTGCCAATTAGGCGTAAATGCAAAACGTATGCTTTTAGACTGTTTAAGGAACCATTTCTGCTAATCAAGTCTCGTATAAAAAAGTATCGAAGCAGTTGTTTGAAAATAATCTCAATAGAGCTAAGGTGAGCACCCTTTCTGCACCCTCAAACCTGATTCTATCAAACTTCTGCTTTTGTTTATTTGAAGTTAAACACAAAGCTACACAATGTACTCTGTCCACCACGAACCCGGTTTCTGGCAGTGAAAGTCCTCAGATATTCCGCTGTGCCATTAGAGAGTCAAAGTTCTGCAGTCAATACAGTAATAGAGATGGCACTCTGCATCAAAACTAAACCTTCCTCACTCTTCTCTCTCGGTTTCGAGTCAGAAAAGATGGTTATGTTAGTCCAAAATAAACAAAATTCAAAAGTGGAGGTGAACATTATTATTGTTCCTATAAAACATTGATAAGCGATGAGTAATATTTTTACCCGTCCAAGTCATGATATCACTTAAGGCAAAAATTAGTATCAAATGAATTGTAGTTAACACACTACAAACTAAACAGAACTAATTGGTATGGAAACCAGTTATTAAACTTGGTTTGGCCTGTATCCGTTGTCCATATAAAGACTAAAACGAGCAATTATCGCTTGTTTCAACTTTTTGTAAAAAGCACTTTCCAACTGCGACTAATTAAAATATTTACAGGAAATCAAATATTACCATAAAGTAATCTCGTTTTTAATTCTAGGTTAAGCTTAAGTCTGAAATATAAATTATGTTTAATTAAACTAATTTATTGCTCATTTATATAGCTTTATTTATTTACTGTAGATCTAGATAATAATTCTTAAATGAGACAAACTGGTTTAAAAGAGAAGTCTTCCTTTAGTTGGAAGACAGAAAATAATTGGTATTTACGTATATAAATATTGAAACAGTTTCAGTGTGAATATAAAATTAATTTATTTTACTAACAAAGTGCCTGATAAGTTTCCAATTTTTACAGACGACCAAGTTCCCCCAGTGGTCGGTTCTGTTCAGTCCGGTTTTTCTGTAGGAGAAATGCCACAGAACAAAAAACTGTGCGTATCTAAACGACGAAACTACATAGTCTTCAAAAACCGTGCTTTCATTGTTAAAAGTGGTTATTATCAGTTCGCTTTTCTGAAGTTAAAAGACAGAGGAAACATTAGACTTTTGTCTTGGGCAACAAAGGAAGGTAAGACGAAGACTTGATGATAATTTCTAAACACTCAAAGCAATCCTGAAATGGGCCATTAGTTAACACTTAAATACTTACACAAATATGTGTTCTGTGTTTGATAACAATCTTAATAAATTGATTGGACAAGAGACCCTTGAAATGGAGCCGTTGAGGATCCGAGACCTTTTGTCGGTAGATCCTTTCCCCTTTTATTTTCAGGAACATTTATGTTTAGGTTAATCTGACGTAAATGTACGTTAATATATGATCTTTTAATTAATTATTGGTTATCTTGTTTGGCAACTAAGCAGGGGAATTATTTTATCTGCTTATATCTGTCAGCACTAATTTAGAATATAAAAAGGATTCACATTTGCATGCTGGTAGACCATGTTAACCTGTCGGTTTTACTTGTAATTAGGAACAATAAATAAGAGCCGAAGACGCACTGAAAGAAAATTTTAAACGTAGCCGACAGTTAAAGAATCTAATTCATGCGATACAGAAATAAGTAATATGAATACGCTGTTGTACATTGTTTAACGATAAAGTACGCAATACATTAGATTCAATCTACACCAATTCATATAAAATAACATGTTTGGAAATTATAGATTAATAAACATAAAAATTACACAAAGAATTCCTAAAATTACGTACATTTATTCTGTTTCTAACAAATCTTTCTTTTCAAGGTGAATGTCTGTTCTACCAGTTCTATTCATACCTTTTAATGGCTCGCTTTAATCTTTCTTATCGTTATGGCTTCCTTAAGTCGTCTCTTGGAATGATTGATTACAACATGTGAGTCTTGAGTTTTATTTTGTAGCACGTTCTCACTGTACTGTCAGGTATGGTTGGCGACTGCTGTTTTTCAAAATTCGCGGATCTTACATCATAACGATGTTTTTATTTCCCTTGTTTGTCCTATTTCACCAACGTAGTCTTTACAGAAGCTACAAATTAAACACCATGCTAGTTTCTCCCCATTTTCGTATTTTATACGAGTTTTCACTCTTCATACTAAGTTGAGTAGCTTTAGTTTAAACCTGAAACTTACATTCACTCTGAATCCTTTTCAACTTTTTACTATTCCAAGAACGTACAGCAGTGAGAAGTAAAACTGGTCGTCTTGTTTATTTGTGGCAACTTTTTGCTGACACTTGCTGGGTTAAATAGCTTGTTTAATGCAGACTTTAAGACAACAATTGACTTCAAAAATCGCCCTGATGTTATATAAAAATTGTTCATGTAGATATTGTGATATTAATCTCAGTATTACGTTCGTTAGTATTCCAGTTTTTGTGGTACTTGAGTGATAGTACACTTGATTTTAAAGATCTGTCTTATATTATTCTCACTTGAAATTGGTAAACTGGTGATGACTAATGATGGTTGTGAAACTCTTTTAGTTTGTTGAATTTGGCCACTCTAGAAATTTCATCCACAAAACGAAACATAATTTCAGGTTTTGAAGTTGCTCACTCTCAAGCATTTTTTTACACAACTCACTGAAGATCCATCGAAGTGGTAACTCTATTGGTGTTCTATCGATCATTCTGAAGTACTTTATATCCACGAGAAGTAGTTTCAGCTCAAACATAGTATGAGTAATTACCTAGTTAATCCTAGGTACAGATATGTGTGTGTGTGTGTGCTGATTGAGGGTTTCATCATTCTTCACTTTCCTCATGACAACATTAAGTGCATGTGAATTCGGAGTTCTGATAAAAAAAATAAAGCGATGCCATATATAAATTTTCTAATAAACCTGTCTTACCTATTTGGATCCTATCTAGCGTCTGTTCGAAGCAGAAAAGACCTGGGTGAAGGATGATGGTTGCCATGACGATGGTGTTAAATTTATGTTGATATGTCGGTGAGTCAATGCACACTCAGTTGGACAGAGGTACTCCTTTGTGAATTTTTGAGATACCAAAAATTTCTGGAGCTCTGATATGACATGGCTTTCAGATGCCTGAAATTTCCCTCACTCAGCAATCTACTTTCGTGTGTTTAAGTATTTGTTCAACTTGATTTTCTGTCTTGTTTGTTGGATCTGATTTTAGTCGCTCAAAATTGTTAATAACCTGAATAATATAGTTTAATGTTCATTTCACAGTCTGTCATGTTCACAACAGTACAATTGCCTTTGTCAATCTAGAGACTAACACACAAAAACTATTACTTGCACGTTTTTCCCCAAACTGCTTACCCACCGTATAAGCCAGAAAAAAATCTTTAATTTTCTTGTTTGTTTGGTTTTTACTTGAACATATTTTAAGACTTGAGAACACGTTAGAGTAAATGGAGAATTTTTCGAAGTGAATAATGTAATGCGTGAAACAGTCATTTAGTGATTTACGATCACATTGTTTTCATTTTCTTGTTTGTTAACTTCTTTTGATATGACTGATAATTAGCACCAGCATATTTTAAGTTTTGATAGTTTAACTAAACAAATTTTTTGTTGTACTAGTTTTCCTTTCAAAAGCGTAAAAGTGTATATGTTAAGCGCTGTGTACGAAGCATTAAATATTGCAAAGTATTCAAATGATTGTAATTTCATTTCATAACACTTCTCGTATGATTTACAAACCTTTTGATTGCAAATATGTATGTATGTATGTATTTATGTATATATCAAAACTACCATGATCCTCAGTAATATCCAGTTTGATCCAGAAAAATGAGATATTCTATCAAAAACTAGCTGCACAATATTTATTAGCCACTTTACATTGATTAGAGGGCGGTAAAATAAACAATATTCTTAAACAATTTATTTGGAATCCATAACATCCTATTTAGAAAGTAGTTCCTTAAAATGCCAGGTGAATTACAATTTTGAGTAAAGTGTTCAACATATTTACTAATGTATTTTGTAATAACGAATATTTTGATATAATTATGTTATCATATCTTACCTAGATGAAATGGGAGACTTTTCAGAACAACACTTGACACAATCTGAATTTTCCGAAGTACAGAAAACATTCAAGTTCAAACTACTGGGATCTACTAAGTCAAGTATGTATATGCCTATGTGATGCAGATGTAGACTATACAAAACCATCTGTTAAAACTCATTTAAACTACATGGTTTCTAAACACATCTAGATCATTTGATGACTTTGAAGTTAGCCTGTTTAACGTTTTCGTATACCAAGCTTTAGGGAAAAACTTTAATTTGGATAAATTACATTAGAGTACTTATATAATTAAAACACACACTTTAAAAATGTTGTTTGTAATAATAAAATAAAAATACAACTTTCTTGAAATATGTGAATTGTATCGATGTATTTTATATTGATTACGAACTTTCAATTATCGATCAATTATATGTTTAATCCTTGATTAATGAACATCGATTATGCGAGAATTTGTGAATTTAAAGAAGAGGTATCAATACAGTTAAGAGAAATGAGTTTGAATGCTATAATTTTTTATGTGAAAGAATAAGATATTATTCTACTTTTTTTCGCGTGACGGCTTAAATTAGAAGTTCAATCCTTGCTGTGCGTGCAATACATATAGTTAATTGCGCACTTTGCGATTAACAACAAAACAAACAATCTTATATTGCTTTAAGTATTTAGTAATTAGTATATCTCTGGAATCAGCATTGTCAAATATCGAAAATGTGCGTAATGGGTGTGTACGTTGATGTGTTATTGTTTGTGATTTTGCTGTGCTCTAAATGGCAGGTCTGTTACATATTTTTGAAACATCTTCAAGATATATATTTTCATACTCATTATTACACTCTGTTGAAAGGGAACCGAAAGTTAAAGTGACCAAAAATGAATTCCAAAAACTTTTGAATTAACTATATGCGTGACTTTCTTGTATTTGTACGATGTATCATTTTGTATCCGATAGCTGTGATGGTTTTTTTACTCTATGTTTTTATGGCCGGAGTGAAAATGATATTTTGAATATTCTAATCGAGAGTTATAAAAGTTCCATTGAAGATCTGTTTTCTTTTGCATTTTACTGAAATAAATTTCATTTAATAAGATCGATGCTTTAGATTCCGTGTTTCTCTTGGAACTATTTCATTCATCGTCAGCCATGTTTAGTCTGATGGCCATGATTAGGCACTATTCTCCGAAAACCGCAGTTTCTGCAGAAGACCGCGGTGTCAATATAAGACGTAAATATCAGCTTCTAAGTTCGACGTTTAAGCTGCAACTATATCGGTGTACTTGACGGGTATGTGGTCGGATGGGATTACTTGAGTTTAGTCTATTTGGCGATTGTTGGTATGTGGTCAGATGGGATAACTTGATTTTAGTCTATTTGGCGACTGTTGGTATGTGGTCAGATGGGATAACTTGATTTTAGTCTATTTGGCGATTGTTGTTATGTGGTCAGATGGGATAACTTGATTTTAATCTATTTGGCGATTGTTGGTATGTGGTCGGATGGGATTACTTGATTTAGTCTATTTGGCGATTGTTGGTATGTGGTCAGATGGGATAACTTGAGTTTAGTCTATTTGGCGATTGTTGGTATGTGGTCGGATGGGGTTACTTGAGTTTAGTCTATTTGGCGATTTTTGGTATGTGGTCAGATGAGATTACTTGATTTTAGTCTATTTCGCGATTTTTGGTATGTGGTCAGATAGGATTACTTGATTTTAGTCTATTTAGCGATTTTTGGTATGTGGTCAGATGAGATTACTTGATTTTAGTTTATTTT